GACCTGGAGGTCATTCTGAAACATGCTCATGTTGAACTTACTGTTCCTCCCACCCCTTAAACTTCCTCTGGTTTGATTGGATTTCCACGTGAATGAGTGAAGAGAAGGAAGTGTTTCTGAGTTATACAGGACTTTCATTTCTTCCCTTCTTTGAAAATTGGATGAGAAACTTCAACTCTTTCAACCTTTCTCACTCACCAATGAAACAGATTGCTGCTAATGGGAGGTTTGGGCACTGCCAACTTAAAATTTAGAGTGGCTCATCTGTGTTCTAATGAAGTGCCCTGAATAGAAGAGCTGGGAAGAAACAAACACCCATTCACAATATCCTGTTCTTGGCCAATTATCCCCTATCCTCCAGATAACCCTTATGTCTTCTAAAGTCAGTGTGACTTGGGCCAGTATCAGGTGATCTACTGAATTATATAAACACTGTTACCCCCATAACCCTTTCCCCACCACTCCCACCTTCAAAGAATGTCAGGTGAGCAGTACAAGGTGAAATGTTGACTGGATTGTTTTTACCCAATTACCACATGGTATAACTTGATAGATGGGTAGAAAAGAAGCAAAAATGACTGTGATGGGTCTACAGAATGAGCCCAAGAGCTCTCCTGTGCCCCTTTCTGGCTGCCAAGGCAGGAGTGGATGAGATCCGAGGAAGGGCAAGATGATTTGCTTGATGAGAGTAAGTGTCATTAGCTGAGGTGAAGTGGGATTAGGAGTTACCTGGATTACACATAGAAGCAAAGCTGATGACTAGATATTTTTCCCCTAAACTGTGAGGCAACTGAACACTAGTAGATTTATGGAGGAAAGCCATCAATGCTCAAAGAAGATGAGGTTAAAAAATTAGGAGGCATAGAGAGTATGGGGGTTGTCTGACACATCCAGGCAGGAAATAATGCCAGCCTGGATAAGAGCTGTGACTAGACGAAGAGCCGTTAGGGACAAGAAGGTACAAATGTGAGAAATTACATAGAAGAAGACTTTTAAGACTTGTTAAAAATTCTCTGGCAGCTGGTTGTGTAGCAGATAGATCACTGGGCCTGGCGTCAAAAAGGCCTGAGTTCAAATTCCTTTTATTTGCCTCAGTTTTCTCATCGGTAAAATGAGCTGGAGAAGAAAATGGCAAACCACTCCAGTGGTTTAGGGTCACAGAGCGTCAGATACAACTGAAATGACTGAACAACAAACAGGTCTGCCTGCCTCAAGTCTTTCCGCATTCTAATCCATCTTTCATTCAAGCTCAGTTATGACCATTTCCCTATCCTACTCAGTAAACTCCAGTAGCTCCATATTATCTCTAAGATCAAATACAAAATCCTCTGTTTGGCCTTCAAAAACCACTCCCCTCCCCTTTCCAATCATCTTACACCTTACAGCTTCCTTTGATCCAATGACCTCTTTGTTATTCCATTAACAAGACACTCCAACTTTCAGATCTGGGCATTTTCTCTGGTGGTCCCTCATGCCTGGAGTGCTCTCTCTCCTCCTCCCCACCTCTTATCTTTCCTAACTTCCTTCAAGTCCCAACTTGAATCCCTCCTTCTACAGGAAGCCTTTCCCAATCCCTCTTAATTCTAGTGCCTTCTCTCTTTTAATTATTTCCTATTTTCCTTCCTATAGTTGTTTGTATGTTGTCACCCCCATGAGGTTGTGAGCTCCTTGAGGGCAGGGACTGTCTTTTGTGTCTTTTCGTATCCCCAGTTGTTAGCACAGTGCCTGGCACATTTTTTTTTTATTACTATTGTGAATGTTTTATTCTTTTTTTTAAATTAATTTATTTTGATTTATCAACAATCACTTCCATATGCTTTTGAGTTTATTTTCCTCCCCCTTCCTCCCCACCACTAACCCCAAGATGGTACACAATCTGATATAGGCTATACATATACATTCCTGTTAAAAATATTTTCACATTAGTGATGTTGTAAGCAAGAATTAGAACCAATAGGAGGAACCGCCAGAAAGAGGAAACAAAACTCAACAGAAGAAAAACAAATAGCAAATAGTATGCTTCGATCTGCATTCAAACTCCATAATTCTTTCTTTGGGTGTGGATAGCATTTTCCATCACGAGACCTTTGGAAATATCTTAGATCCTTGTATTGCTGGGAAGGGTTAAGTTTATCAATATTAGTCATCTCACAACATGACTGTTATTGTGTACAACGTTCTCTGCTCATTTCACTCAGCATCAGACCACACAAGTCTTTTCAGGTTTTTCTGAAGTCAGCCTGTTCATCATTTCTTACGGCACAATAGTATTCCATTACATTCGTATGCCACAACTTGCTCAGCCATTCCCCAGTTGATGGGCATCCTCTCCATTTCCAATTCTTTGGTGCCTGGCACATTGTAAGTGCTTAATAAATGCTTATTGACAGACTAACTGGCAAGAAGAAATAGTCCTTGCCTTCAAGAAGCTTGCATTCAATTGAGGGACAGGGATACAACATGCAGGGATCTTTAAGTAAATATAGTTTGAATACTTAAGTCTCTAACTAAATACAAGGTAATTTGAAGAGGAATGAGGCACTATAACTATAGGGATGGAGAGGGGGCCAGCATGACAGAGCCAAGGGCTAAATAACTAGATATTTATAAATATTCAAATACAGTTCCTGGATAATCTTTACATATTACTCATTCTACCTAACAAATCACTTTTGCTTTGAGGTATCCACAATGACTCTTTGGAAATAGCCTTGAAATCACCAGGCAAGATGGTTTATAGTCAGTTTTTTCTTTGAAGTATCAAAGGACCCTTTGATGACCCTTCCTCTCCATTCACAGTGATTATCCTAGCACAGTTGCTTATAAACTCCCCCTTGGATTGCAGCAGTGTACCTCCTAGCTGGCCTCTGTGACTCTTGGGTCCCCCTCTTCCAGTCCCACCTACAAATGCATCTTCCTAAAACATAGATATCAATTTTCCACTGCACTGCTCAGAAGCTGTCTTTAACATTCTATTTCCTACCACATCGAGGCTGAACTCTTCTTTCTAGCTTCCAAGGCCCTCCAAAACTTGAGTTCAAATCCAGCCCCACACACTAGCTGTGTGACCCTAGGTAAGTCACTTAACCTCCATCTGCCTCAGCATCATCTGTAAAATAGGGACAAAAACACCTACCTCCCAGGTTTATTGTGAGAATCAAATGAGATAATATTTGTAAAACACTTCAGAAACCTTAAAGCACTAGCTATTATTATTTTTATCTTACCTACTTCAACTTTATTTCCTACTCCCAAAGGCAAGTTTGTATCCTCCATTCTCCTCAATTCTGTTTCTTCACTGTTCTATAATCATTCAGAGAAGTAACTAGGGCAGAGAAACTGTAGCTTTGCTTTGGGTGCTGAAATTTATAGGGTGCTAATTACAATAATTAACCTTTCAAGAATATGAAACAAGAGAGAGTTATACTTACTTATCAAAAATAATTAGCTGAAATAGGAAACTACGAGATGGTGGGCTTCGCCCTCCTTGTGTCCTTACGCTAATTGAGTTTCCTTTCGGCCCACACCCCTCCTCATCTTCTGCCCCCCCCATCCCACTAACCGGGTGGGCAGTCTCCCTGGCATACTGTGTCTTAGGGTCTTCTGTGGTGGCTCAGGGTTTTTATCACTACCCAACTTAATTATTTCTTTAAAAAATTATTTGATGGTTCTTTCCATGAAGCTTTTCCCCAGATAGCAAAACTGTAGCCACAGCTGTGCAAACATTCTTTGTTCCTTCCCAACTCTATGTACATTTCTCCATTTTCCTGTTTGAAAGCTGGAGTTTTGAAATGTATGATGGCATCCCCACAAATCTTCTAGGGTTCTTCATGTAATATTTGGGGTTTCTTTTCCCTTGACATCAAGAAGGTTTGTTTTTTTTTTCTTTTTCCTCAAAATTATTAGAGAGCTTGGTTCTGTCTCCACACTTTTTGGAAGTGTTTTATCAAAAAGCTTGTTCTGTATGTGAACATCATCAAATTAACAAGTGAAGCTAGGGAAGCTGGGTGATGTGGCGGATAGTGCACTGTCAAGAAGACCTTAGTTCAAATCCTGCTATCTATCAGTTACCTTATCTGTGAAATGGGGATAATGATATTGGCCACTTCCCAGGGTTGTTGTGAGGATCAAATGAGTTAACTTCAAATGAGGCAGCTAGGTGACACATTGGTTAGTGTGAGTTTGAGTTCAAATCTGGTTTCAGATACTTACTAGCTGTGTGATCCAGGACAGGTCACTTAACCTCCATTTGCCTCAGCTTCTGCAGTTGTAAAATGGGGAAAAGAAAAACACCTTTTTCCCAGGGTTGTCATAAGGATCAAATGAAGCAGCTAAATGGCATATTGGACAGAGTATTGGGCCTGTAGTCAGGAATATTTGAGTTTAGGTCTGGCCTCAGACACTTATTAGCTGTGTGACCCTGGGCAGGTCCCTTAACCTCTGTTTATCTCAATTTCTTCAACTGTAAAATGAGGAAAATAAAAGCACCCACCTCCCAGGATTGTCATAAGAATCAAATGAGATAGTATTTGTAAAGTACTTGGCACAATACCTGGCACAAAGTAGATGCTTAAATGCTTATTCCTTGCCTCCTCCTTCCCCATAAGTAAAGCACTTTCCAAACCTTAAAAGCATTATTTAAATTGTAACTATTGTTATATCATGAAAAAAATGTGTGTTGAATACATTTAATGAAAAGCATAGGTCCTACCTTCAAGGTGATTACAATCTAGATGAATGATAAAATAAGAACACGTAAGATGAGAAACTATAATGAAGAATACAAAAGGATAGATAAATATAGAAGTGCGTAATGTCGGTTACAAATGCTGAAGTAGTTTAGAAAAGAGGAAGATCAGTGGGAGAAGGGCTGTGATACTTGAATTCAGCTTTGTCAGGTTTAAGAACTAGAGCTGAGCCTTCAGAGATGTGTAGGACTTGCATAGGTGAGGGTCAGTGGGGCAAACAAGGACTCATGGAGGAGGAGGAGGTCAACATACCTGTGTCATAGTCACAGTCAAAGATCTAGATGGGAAGTTAAAGGCCCTCTAGTCCAGCCCTCTCATTTCACAGATGAGGAAATGGTGTCCCGGAGGTGAAACAATTTGCTCAAAGTCACCCAGCTAGTAAGCCTCAGAGTTGGGTCTCAAGCTCAGGTCCCATGGCTCCAAACTCAATACTTTTCCCACTACATTTGGGAAAGTCACTTTCCCCTCTCTGGGTCTCCATTGTTTCCTCTGCAAAATGGTGGAACTGCCAAGGAGGAGAAATGAGAATGAACCTCCCTTCCTTCTTTGCAGAACTGGGTGACTCCAGCTGGGGGATATTGCACATAATGTCAGACTTTGTTGCCATGTTCATTAGTTTTGCTGAGCTCTCTTTCTTTCCCCCATTTTCTCTCTTTTTTTTTTTATTGTAAGAGATATAACCCTCTCCGAGTGGAGAAGCAAAAATATGTAGGGAAGTAAAGGTAATATATAAGCAAAAGATGCCAATGAAAAACTTAAAAATAAAGTGAATGGGTTACTGCTTGACTTTGAGGACCCTTCAGATCTAAAATCTTGGGATCTTATGATTATATGATCTCTAAGGAATTCCCATTCTAAATCTTGTAATGCTATGGAGTTTATTGATGGGATTAGAGTAATCAACAACAAAAAGCATGCAAGTACTGCCAGGAATAAGTGAGGAATAGTTATGTGGGTCATAGAAATCATGGATTCCCTGAGGGCATAAATCATACCATACATTTCTACTGTATTCTCAATACCATCTGGCAGAGTGTTGGGCATAGGGTAGGTCCTCAATAAATGGCTTGGTGAATTCAGGCTACTGAGACTCCATTCATCCCAGATGGAATTTAGAAGCCCTGAAAAGAACCCCGAGGATAGCACAGGATTTAGTATTTATTTTTTAAAACAAAATACTTGGCATCCTCAAAATATTTTTGGTGCTTGTGGGATCACTACAGTATCTCTTCTTGTCAATATTATGAAAATCCTTGCACTAAGTAGAGATTTTTGGAGTATCTGGGAAAATGACTTTTAATCAGTCCACATTAGAATGTTGAAGTCTTGATACTAGGTCTTGGGCTGAGGCCCAGATTCTTCTCCTGTCGCTGCTCAAAGAGGAGCTGCTTCCTACATAGGCAATGGTGGCCCTCAGAGAGAAGGTCAGACTTCCAGCCCTGCCTTAAAGGAATGTTCTAGAATAGCCATCCAGGTCTTATCATACTGTCCAGGTGGTATCTAGGATGCCAGGTTTCACTCATCTTTATGTTGAATTTCCATTAAGTTCTGTTGATTGTAGTTTGTATTTATACAGCAGTTTGGGACCTGGAAATACTAAGATTTTGATGCTGTTGTTTTTAAACTCTGCTTACTACTGATTCAGTGGAGTATGGTGGTGAAGAGTCAAGTCCCTTGCCTCAGATGCGTCCGAGCTAGTGATATTTATTGGAGAGGCCAGACTTCTCTGAACCTCAATTTTTTCATCTGTAAAGTGGGAGAAATCACATCTATAGAGCAGATATTGCTCACTCCTATAGTCCCTGCTACAGGGGAAGCTTGGTGGGTTGCTTGAGTTCAATAGTTCTGAGCTACAGTAGGGCTAAAGTTAAAAGTGTTCACAGTAAGTCCAGAACCAATGTGGTGAGTCCTGGGGAGTGGAGGACCACCAGGTTGGCTAAAGAGGGCAAAGTAGCCCAGGCCAGAAAAACAGGTGTGATAAAGTTTCAGTGGCAATTAGCATTGGGGTAGAACCTATGAGAGGCAGTTTCATTTCCAGCTAGAAGGAGAGAGAGAGAGAGAGAGAGAGAGAGAGAGAGAGAGAGAGAGAGAGGGAGAGAGAGGGAGGGGGGGAAGGAAGGAGGGAAGGAAGGAAGGGAAGGAGGAAAGAATGGAGGGAGGGAGGAAGGAAGGGAGGGAGGGAGGAAGGAAGGGAATGAAAGAAAAGAAAATTAACAAAATTAAAAATGAACTGGGTGAAATCACAACAAACAAAAGAAATAAAAAGAATTATTACAATCTACTATATGCTAGTTATATACCAGGAAAATGAAGAATTTAAAAGAAATAGAGAATTTTCTGCAGAAAATATTTTTTAAAGATAGCAGAAAAGAAAGACAAAGGAGAAGAGAAAGAGAGAGAATGAGGAAGGAAGAAAAGAGAAGAGAAAATATTTATGACACTTACTTTATACAATTGTAAGTCTCAAATGAAATAATGTGTGTAAACCACTAAATAAATGCTAAATAAATAAATTAATAGAAAACTTCTTGACTAAAGAGAAAACCAAATTAACAAAATTAAAAAGAAGTCATAACAAACAGAAGAAATAAAAAGACTTATTACAACCTACTACATGCCAATTATATACCAGAAAAACTGAGAATTTAAAAGAAATTGAGAATTGGCTACAAAAATATTTTTAAAAAATAACAGAACTCCAAACAGAGATCTTAATCCATTTTCAGAAAAGGAAATAGAACTAACTAGGAAGGAGAGACTCAGAGGAGAAGATGAAAACAAAAACAAAAAACTCCTTGATCTAGGTAGATTTGCGGGACAATTCTATCAAACTTTTAAAGAACAACAAATACCTATTCTACACAAATTATTCTCAAAAATTGAGAAAGAAAGCATCCTACCATACTCCTCTGATGAGACAAATGTAGGTCAAGCAATTAAACCAGGATAGGATAAATCAAAGAAAGAGAACTGTCAACCAATATCATTGATGAACACTGATCTAAAAATTTTAAATACAATCTTGGCAAAAAGGCTATAGCAATAACTCACAAATCACTCGCTATGATCAATTTGCATGTTAAATAGGGATACCAGGATGGTTCAACAACAGGAAAATAATTCACATAATTATAATGAAAAGAGAAATATACAGTACCACATGATTATGTTAATAAATACAGAAAGAGTATTTGACCAATTACAATACTTAAAAAAATACTTTTATGTATAAGAATAAACAGACCTTTTTTAATATTTAAAATATATCTAAAACTAAAAGGTAGCATTACATGCTACTATGAGAAAGCACTAAAAATTTACCCATTAAATATAAGAGGTAAGCCAGGATGTCCCCTTTCCTGGCTATAATTTGAAACAATTCTAGAAATGTTAGCAACAACAATAAGTTGAGAGACAGAAAATAGTGGAATAAAGATACGAAACTAAAAGAAAAAACAATCTCCATTTACTGACAAGATGATGATTTACTTGAAACACACACGCACACACACGCATACAACTAGAGAATCCATGTAGAAACAAAATGAGATAATTAATAGTTTCAGTAAATTAGTGGAATACAAAATCTCCACCCCCACCCCCAATTCAAGAATGTCTCTATATAGGAATACAAAATGCAGGATGAAATAATGATATGAAAAGTCTCCTTCAAAATAACTGTAAAGTGCATTAAATATCTGAGAGTCAATCTATAAAGGTGTGCTTCAAGCCTATAAAGATATAATTACAAATTATATTTAAATAAAGAAAACTTAAATAAGTAGAGGGCTATTCAGTGCTCGTGTCTGTGCCATGCCAATGGAATAAAAACTGTGCTACTACCTAAATTAATTTACAGATGTAATTATGTGTCAATTCAACTACTAAAGGGATATTTTATAGAGCTGGACAAAAATAAAATAACAAAATTCATTTGGAGGAACAAATGATCTGGGATCTCAAGTGAAATAATGAGAAAAAAAATAGGATTAAAGAGGTAATAGCACTTCAAAGCCTAAAATTACAATAAAACTATTTGGTACTGCTAAGAAATGAAAAAGCAGATCATTGGAACAGACTAGATAAGAATAAAAAATAATTGACCTCAATAACACAGGATTTGATAAATCCAAAAATTTACATCACTTGGATAAGAACTCCCGCTCTAACAAGAATTTGAAGGAAAATAGGAAAGCAATTACATGTAGATCAGCATCCTATACAATATACCACAACAATCTCAAAGTGCATAGGTATGCTGAATACTAAAGGTCAGACAAAAAAAAAATTAGAAGAGAAACATTAAGCTCTTTTCATAGCCATGGTGAGAGGAATGAATTCTCAAACAAATAAAGGACAGAGGCAATCAAAAGATTAAAATAGATATTTTTGCCTATATTAAATTGAAAAACCTTTTCATAAATGAAATTAACACAACTAGAATAAGAAGGGAAGTTGACAGTTCTGAAAAAAAAATCTTTACATCAAATATCTCTGGTAAGACAGAGCTAATATCTAAGATATTTAGGAAGAAACACAAATATATAAGATTAAAAGTCATTTTCCAAAGGATAAGTGGTCAAATAATATGAATAAAAAGTTCTTTAAAAAATTGTAAACAATTTTACAAATCACTAACATAAGTAAAATACAAATCAAAACAGCTCTGAGACTTTTACCTCACGTCTAGGAAATTGGCAAAGATGACAGAAGATGAGAATAGTCAATGTTGGAGAGGTTGTGAACAGACAAGTACATTGATGTATTGTTAGTGGAACTATGAAATGATACTACCATTCTGGAAAGCAATTTGGAATTATGCTAAGAAAATGAAGAAAATCTATATATGCTTTGACCCAGAGATCCCGTTGCTAGGTATGTACTTCAAGTAGGTCAAAAATAAAAAGTCCCATATACACCAAATTTTTATATCAGCACTTTTTGTAGTAGCGAAGAACTAAAACCAAAGATAACCATCAACTGAAAATATGGCTGAACAAATGGTGGTGTATTCATTTAATAATAATAATAGCTAATATTTATTTTTGTTGTTGTTCAGTCTTTTTAGTCATGTCTTACTCTTCGTGACTCCTTTTGTGGTTTTCTTGGCAAAGATACTGGAATGTTTGCCATTTCCTTCTCCAGCTCATTTTATAGATGAGGAAACTGAGGCAAATAAGGTTGTCATTGTTCAGGGTCACACAGTAAGTGTCTGAGGCCAGATTTGAACTCAGGAAGATGAAGTTTTGATTCCAAGCCCAGCACGTTGTCACCACACTACCTAGCTGCCCTTACATTTATGTAGCTCTGACTATATAACAGGCACTATGCTAAGCACTTTAGAATTATTGTGTCATTTGATCTTCACAGTAACCTTATGAAGTAGGTGCTATTATTATCCCCATTTTATAAATGAAGAAACTGAGGCAAACAGAAGTTAAATGACTTGCCCAGGATCACACAGCTAGTATGTCTTTGAGGCTGAATTT